TACCTAGACATTTTCTTGAAAGCTGTTTCTGCTCCCACTTTTATTTAGCCAAATGTTACACAATGCCGGTTTTACATTTGAATGTATTTTAATAAACAAACAAACAAATAAACAAATAAACATACATACAGAAAAAAGGCTTCTGACACAACTGTATTACAAAACCCCAATTATTCATACATCAGGATTAAACTTCTGTGCATTTGTACCATATCTTCATATCACACATGCTAGGTGCAAAATACTTTTACCTACAGCATTTTTATTTTTTAATCATTCCTCATTGATAAAAGGGTCCAGGGTGCCTCCCCACCTGTAACCACTTACTGAGGGATGCTTAATGGAAGAAAAGCTAAGTGGAGTTTAAACAACTTTGCAAATGCCAGATATCAGCATCCCCAATACACATTTTATACTTGAAGAATCAAACAGCCATCTTAATCATACATGCCATTCTGTGGCATACTAAATCCGACATCAAAAGCCACCTTATCATCAAAAGCCAACAAAAAAAACCGGTAACAAGTTAAAGCTTAAAGCACAATGGACCGAGTTTACACTTTACTTCTAAAGCAGCAAAACAGTCCCTTACATTCCCAGTTAATAAAACAGATGCTTTTATGAATGCCCCAAGCACAGCTGGAGTGAGGTAATAATTGGCACTGAGCAACTTGGAACTAAATTTATGCAATTTATATTCTAATATATAAGACATTCCTCCCCTATAAACAAAATCACAATTCTGATCCTACCTATATATGTGTGTGTTTATATGTGTGGGTATGAATGCATTTGGTGTTTCCTTTAGAAAAAAAATGACTTTAAAAATGCTAGCGTTTCAAAGAACAAATAGTTATTGGCAGCACTTTTGCATTGTTAAGTGGCAAAATTCTCTGCAAAGGGTAACCCATTCCAAAGTTTACTGTTAATTCCTGTAGATCTGCATCATAATTGAACAGCCGGATCCTTATTTACAAAAGAAGGATGTGCTGGAAGAACAAACAGTGCGTAGGGAGTCTCCCCCCCCCCCCCAAAAAAAAGACATGGGGGGGGGGGAGCACAGCAGCTTTCTGAATAATCACTGAGAAAGCTTTTAACCAACATGAAATACATTATTTCCATCCCCTGGAGGAAAAAAAAGTATTTGTTTGATGCTAAACTTTTGGGTTGCACATTTTCCTGGTCAGTATCTGTGCTGAAAGTTATTGGCAAACCACTGAACAGCCAAAACTTAGTGTAAGCTTCTATAATAATGAGGACACTTCTCCCTAGTCCCCCAAATGAGATCAGGGGAACGAGGGACAAAAAAGGGGAGGGGGAATAAATTTGACACAAAGAAATTAAGCCCACCATAATGTCTGTGTTTCATGTTAACAGCCTTCTCTATCCTGCTGCGTTGACCATAATGCTCTATCACAAGTGCTGTCAGGGGCCCACGCTGAGTAGCTAATTAAAACAATTACAAAGACAAAGAAGGTATCGATGGCATTCCAAGCTGCAAACAAAGAGATAAAGATAAAGAGAGAAATTATCAATGGTTGATCTCTGCGGTCTGGTTTTTGAAGTGGTAACAGTGTTCCCCCACAGATGGAGAAGGGGTCCTCATATTTTCTGGGAAAGAGAGGTGGGTTCAGCTGGAGCTGCCTGCATTGTCCAGAAGGCAGGAGCAATAACAATATTTTTTTGCAAAGGAACAACTGGAAATTGTATAAAAAGGTACCATTTCTGGACAGTAGCCTTAATGTACTGGGAGGGCTTTGAGTTCCCCTACTGGCAGAGCAATATGCAACAAATTTCCACTGTACTTGAATGTAAACTGGGATGACTGAGATTCAATGTTTACTGTATTTAGTAATGCTTCACCCTCAATTTTTTTTTCATAACCAAGGAGATGGGAGTGAAATTCAGTTTTTTTGAGAAAAAGGTGAGATACAGGAACACCCCCTTTACGTACGTTCAATATGTGTGCAACTGTGTACACATGCATTGCGACAAACCCAGAAATGACCTGAAAACATCACAAAAACAAAACAAGAAGGGGTGGTCATGAGGCAGGGGTGGAACAGGGTGTTTTGCAGGCTTTTTCAATGGTGTTTCAAATATATGCCATTTCACTTAAACATGCAGTGCCTAGGAACACAATCCCCGTGTAAATGGGGGGTTGTTTGTAGAAATGTCTTAAATAAACACATAAACAAATGGGTCTTCCTTGGGTGGGCCAGGGTGGTCTGGTTTCAGGATTTGAGTGGGGGAAACTTGACCAAGGAAGTATCTGTGGGTCCTCTTACCTTGAAAGAGGTGGTGAATGTAAGCAAGAACTGCTCTCCAGCTGCATCCAACCTTCTTTGATTCGTGCCAAGTGAGAATGCTTAGCGCCATTGGGACAATAGGCTCTTTACAGCTCTTGAGACCCTGGCAAATCCCTGCAGTGTCAGCCCTGTTTGGGACACAGTTCTGTGTTGCCCCTTGGCTTAAAGTCAGGGCTGTGGCCCAGGACAATTTGCTACCTGAGGAAAAGGACAATGCGGAAACCACATGCAGAAAAATACTGGATCTCACTTCAGCCCTAGAGAGGGGACAGCACACTAGTTTACAGTTCACAGGGCAGGTGATTGTGGCACACACAACTCTTTGCTTCAGTTCTTCATCCCTATATCCCATCCAGAATGTGCTACAATCTACCTAATGGTAGGGACGGCTTGCACTCATCTCACTACCACCATTTTGGGAGCTAGGATTTTAAAAAGAGAGAAAGAGAGAGAGGGAGGGAGGGAGGAAGAGAAAATGAACGAAATAGGAACTATACTGGATCAGACCAAAGGACCACCTAGTCTTGCATCATGGTCTCACAGTGGTCAGCCAGATACCCATGGTGAACCTGCAAATAGGCAGATCCTCTAGCACAGAAGGGGGACCCTTTTCAATCCAAGTGCTACATTTCCTTGTGGGTGACCTTCCAGTGTGGTATATACCCCTGATGAGCAGAGTCAGAGGCAAAGGGTGGCAGAGCAGCGGATGTTCCAGCCAGGCAAAAGTCAGTGGTGCCTCTGACTCCCACCATGCTTGCCCATTGGCCACCCTGACTTGGGCTGCTGGGAGCTGTAGTCCATTGACATCGCGTACATACCTTATTGTCTAGCCATGCATTACAGACTTCCAAACCCAGACTCCTGATTTTATAATAAGCTCAAATCCCAACAAATCTATGAATGGAAGCTCTATTTTGGCTTGAAGTGGGTACAATTTTGTGTGAAGATTTTTTGTCTGGAGAGCTAAAGTGAAGGCAGCGGAAATATTTCTGAAGAATTGCAGGTTTGCTTCACAAAAACGCCTCTCCTTTTAACAAGTCGTTTTACACTGGTGTAATTCTCCAATTTCAGTCGTAGGTCTTTGTGGTCCCGGAGATAAATGTGTATCATTCATCTCATCAGTGTGAACCAAGCTGGCGGCAGCTGAGGAGAGATTCAGCTACCGCATTTTGAAAAGCCTTGATAAAACGAAGCCAAGGGTGAGTTTAAATATGCAGCCAGCCATTCAGAAGCATTTACAGCCTAGACTGTAGAAATACTTTAGACAATCGTGCTTGCCTTAATTGCAGGTTTAAATAATTATATATGTGTTGTTGTTTTTAAAAGTCTAGGACTGATAAAGTTAACTTCCTGAAAGAATGGTCTCTGACAAAGAAAATGGAGGAGGGGGGGAAACAGCCCCAATAACTTTTGAGTTTAAGAACAGCCCTGTTTTCTTTTTTGGCATTGTTAAACTGTTATCACCTCTATTATTTGCAGAGCGTTTGTTTAGAATTGTGTAATAACACTGAGTTGAATAGTGAGGAATTCATTTGTTAAATTAATCAGCGTAAACTAAACAGCAAAGCTATCATGAACTGGGTGGGCCTGATCTGTAAATGGACTTTGAATTCCAGTCAGCTGTGCTTTTAATCATCTGTGCACAAATGAGCCAAAGACTTCCAATTAGCCAAGAAATAACCTTGAATAGAGTTAACAGTGGTTCCCTTCTCCCTATCCCCACCACATGGATGAAAACGACTCTTCGCTGTGCAAACTTCCCTGGGAATAAACCCCTCTGAGCACAGTAGAACTTTATGCATAGGATTGCACTATAAGAATGGGAAGAGAGGAAAGGAGATTTCAAATATGGGGAATTTAGGGTCTACCAAAAATGTTTGCAAGCAGAATAAGCAATGAAATCTTTGCATTGCTATTATTTTGCTGGTCTAATAGCAAGCATGACCTCTCCCACATGAAAACCTGTTGCGCCTGATTGAGGGCTAATTCATACACCCCCAGCAACCAGGGAAGATGAGCGTGGGGTGGGGTGGAGAAGAGAGGAGAAATTCAGTGGTTTCATTTATGGCACAGTCCATCCTGATCCCCAGGATACCTGTCAAGTAGAAGGTCAATTTTCAATAATAATACTAATACCCCACTCATCTGGCCAGGCCTCCCCAGCTACTCTGGGCGACTTCCAACAGAGTATTAAAAAAAAAAAAAAAAGAACATCGAAACATCAAACATCAGTTCTCGCAGGGAGGGAACCACCAGAAGACCCTCGGAGTTGGACGATGGAGGTTGAGATGCTCCTTCAGGTATTCTGGGCCGAGTTCATTTAGGGCTTTAAAGGTCAGCACCAACACTTTGAATTGTGCTCGGAAAAGTACTGGGAGCCAATGTAGGTCTTTCAGGACCAGTGTTATATGGTCTCGGCCATATGATGTATGATTCAACTTTAACTATACACTGGTCTGTGACTTAGGATTGTGTTTGTTTTTTTAAGTGACCGTGGGCATGAGGTGGATCAGGGATTGCATGGCTATCTGTCATGGATGCTTTAACTGAGATTCATGCATTGCAGGGCTTTGGACTAGAGGACCCTCAAGGTCCCTTCCAACTCCACAATGGTACAATTCTATGGTTCATCTAGCTCAGAATTGTTGACACTGGTTGGCAGTAGCTCTTCTCCCTGGTTCCAGATGGGGGTGTTTGCCAGCCAGGGATTGAACCTGGGACCTTCTGAATGCAAGGCAGATGCTCTGCCACTGAGCTATGGCCTTTAACCACAAGTGCCCTACAATGCAGAGCCTCTCTATCACTGCAGAGGGGACTTTAGTGTCAAATGCAATGCTTCTTAGTGGAGTAACATTCAACTGCAGTCCGTATCCTACAAGTGTGCAGTCAGAAAGGAGGAGTTCTGAGCACAGAAAGAGAACATCCATTCTCTTTTCGCACAATTGCTATTGCCAGTGTGATATGATTCTCTAAAGTAGCCTTCCCTAACCTGGTGTCCTCCACATGCTTCGGATTTCATGAACCCAAAACCGTTCAAGGGCACCAGGTTGGGGAAGACTGACTTAAGAACACTCAGCAAGCTGCTTCCTTTGCCTTTTTGGTTTGCAAAAAGGTGGTAGCTCCCACCGTTGTTCTTTTGCAAAACACTTTCATTGCTCTTTTGCTGCATAACTAAACAGTGTGTTTCTCACACTCCCTGATTCATTATTGTAGTGTGCTATGAAAAATGCCTGTCTCCATGAAGTACAGGAATGCAGTTCATTGAGCAAAGTGACTCATTGGCTCAAAATCTGGAGACGGATCTTCAGACAATAAAGCGACTAATTTCTGTGCATAAATGTGGGGCTGGAACTCAGGTGACTGACTGAATGGGCATATCATATCATTAGGTGCAGAATGACAAGTGTGGACTTCTCATGGCTTCCAATAAATGCTTAATTATTCAGACTCCTTACCACATTCAAGTGTTGTTCAGCTTTATAACCTACTTATATTAACTTCCTTTTCTAACCCTTTCATTCCTCTTTTTTGAAATTGTGCTCTCATGTACAAAGCAATCTCTCATTTTGCTAAGGGTTTCAGGTTGGTCTGATGCAGTCGAAATATATGTGTGTGTGTGTGTGTGTGTGTGTGTGTGTGTGTGTGTGTGGCACCTTAGAGACCAACTAAGTTTATTCTTGGTATAAGCTTTCGTGTGCATGCACACTTCTTCAGATACCTGAAGAATAAGTAAAGGTAAAGGGACCCCTGACCTAATGGTCCAGTCGTGGCCGACTCTGGGGTTGCGGGGCTCATCTCGCTTTATTGGCCGAGGGAGCCAGCGTACAGCTTCCGGGTCATGTGGCCAGCATGACTAAGCCACTTCTGGCAAACCAGAGCAGCGCACGGAAACACCGTTTACCTTCCCGCCAGAGCGGTACCTATTTATCTACTTGCACTTTGACGTGCTTTCGAACTGCTAGGTTGGCAGGAGCTGGGACCAAGCAACGGGAGCTCACCCCGTCATGGGGATTCGAACCGCCGACCTTCTGATTGGCAAGTCCTAGGCTCTGTGGTTATACCCACAGCACCACTTGAAGAATATCTGAAGATATTTGAAGAAGTGTGCATGCACACGAAAGCTTATACGAAGAACAAACTTAGTTGGTCTCTAAGGTGGTACTGGACAATTTTTGCTAAGGGAGTTATGGTACCTATTTACTTGCACTGGCGTGCTTTTAAACTGCTGGGTTGGCAGAAGAAGAAGAAGAGTTTGGATTTGATATCCCGCTTTATCACTACCTGAAGGAGTCTCAAAGCAGCTAACATTCTCTTTTCCCTTCCTCCCCCACAACAAACACTCTGTGAGGTGAGTGAGGCTGAGAGACTTCAGAGAAGTGTGACTGGCCCAAGGTCACCCAGCAGCTGCATGTGGAGGAGCGGGGAATCGAACCCGGTTCACCAGATTACAAGTCTACCACTCTTAACCACTACACCACACTGACTCGAACCTCCAACCTTCCGATCAGCAAGCCCAAGAAGCTCAGTGGTTTAGACCACAGCTGCACCCGCTCTCAGCTAGACACCAATTGCCTATGGATTTGAATGAGGGGAACACAACAGGAAAAAAGACATCATTGCCAAAGGTTTACTGATATGGAACTTCGTTATACTGCCCTTCAGCCCTGGCAGTTTACACCTGAAATCTAAAAATAATAAAATAAACCAGAATAACACAAGAGGATGATAAAATATATGTTGTATCTCTATTTTTAAGAACATTAATTCAAGGAAGTTTACAGTTCCGATAAAAATACACAACAGGTCATAAAGCAAAAACAAAGAGAAATAAATTCATAATAAAAATAACTATGATTGTGGGTATGCTTGCTCAAAAGTAAATCTCTCATTTCAATGAGCCTTCATGCCAGATAGTTGGGCATAGGGCTACTGGCTAAAATTATGGGTTGCATCCGACTAAATATTATTCAGAGCTGATTCGTTTAAATTATTACACCTAAATTAGTCATGCCCATTCATTTCCATGGGTCTACTTTGAGTAGGACTAACACTGGACACAATTATAAGGTGTTTTTTAAAAAATGTTTTTGGAAGAGACTTAGGTAAGGATTTTAAAAATTATTATTAGTACTGTGTAATTGCAGCTTATTTAATCAGGACTGTTTAAGAATGTGTAATGTAACCCTACTGCTAGCATTGCTGACCTCCTCCTTCACTCTTTCACCTTGGTGGGCTGTTGGATTATTTATTTCGGAGCCTTTGGCGGGTGGGGGCTCACATTTGTTTTTACACTAGCTTGACTTTGAAGGAGGAAGTGCAAAGCAAAGAAGACCCGTAAAATTAAGTAGGCTTAATGAACGTCTGTCAAGCCAGTCAACTGCCATCACCACCTTGTCTGTCACTCACTGTAGGAAGTGGGAGATATGTTAAAAACAACAGCAAATTTCCTCTTTTCCCTTTCCTGGCCTCCAAGCTACCTAGAGGAAATCTCAAGGCCAAGTCGATTAGTGACATCTTAAGGCCAAGACCAGAACTAGCAGGGCAGTTTGATTTAACAGACCAGGGAGGCAATCCCTAGACACAATTTGGGAATGAGGGACACCAGCTTGGATGGCTCTCAAAAGAGGATTTCGCCAGATTCATGGATGATAAGGCTAGTAGTGGATACTACTAGCCATCATGGTGACGTTCCACTTCCAGTCAGGCAACTTGTTGGCCAGTCTAAGAACAGCGTGGTGGACTAGACAGGACTTTGGCTCGGACCCAGTAATGGTCTTCTTATATTCCCCAACCTGGTGCCTTCCAGATGTTTTGGACCATGATTCCCATCAGCCCTGGCCAGCATAACCAATGGTCAGATACAACAAATTATTAAAAAATAATAATTCTATATAATTAGCCACTAAACTCAGAAGACAAGATGAATTTGGAGTTGGCAGTATACCTGTTATTGATTGCCACAACAGAGCTCTAGGTTAAGACACACCATGCATTTGATTTTCAGATGCTATGGACAAAATGGAATGGTTGACCGCTATTGAGTTTTCAGAGGTGCTGAGCTGGGCATTTTGGGAAAAGAATGTCTGAATTTAACAATGAAGTCTCTGCTTAATACAGTGAGACATGAACAAGCCTTTTGGCCATGCATGTAGCCCTTTCACAGGAGCAAGCCAGGAAGTCTTAAGATATATACAGTTTCCTTTCCTGGACAAACTGGGAAACTTCAGAACAAGCCAATATATATCATATTTTTCACTCCATAAGACGCACCCGAGGAAAGCAAGGGAAAAAAAATCTGAATCACGGCCTCCTCGGGAGGAGAGCGATCCCCACAGAGGCATGGGAGGGAAGTTGCGCGCCCGCCAACCATATGGTTTGCAGGGGTGCAGCTTCCATCCTAAGCCTCTGTAGGGATCACTCTCCTCCCGAGGAGGCTTGGGAGACTTTCCTTCTCCCCACTTCCCCCCGCTTCCCTGAGCAGCACAGGCCCCTTTTCCAGCCTCCTCCTCTCCATCCCTTTCGCCCAAACTCCTCAGGCAACGCCTGCAATTTCTCCCCTTCGCTGCTGCCTCTCCTTTGTCCTCTACCATGACTCTCCACTCACGGCAACCTACCTCCTCTCCCTTTGCCCTGCTTCTCGGTCCCCCTCCTCTCCATCTTCTTCCTCCCCTCTCTCGGCAGCTGCCTCTTCTCGCCATCCTCTGGCCAACATCCCCAGAGCCATCAGGGGAAAGGGGAGGCCGTCGGTCAAAGCCTCTCTCAAAGAGAGCAGACCAGGAGCGCGAGGACCAGGAGCAACATCGCACAGGCTGCCCGCCGCTCCCAAACCTTCCCAGGGCTTCAGGGGAAAGGGGAGGCCGCCGGGAGGGCGGGGCAACGGTGCGCGGTGCACTCGGGCGATTCGGTTCCAGGGACCACACATTCGCTCCATAAGACGCACAGACATTTCCCCTTACTTTTTAGGAGGGAAAAAGTGCATCTTACGGAGCGAAAAATACAGTGTAATACCATGCTTTGGGGAAAGTTAAAAAATATCTCAACTTGTTCCAAAGCTGTTAGCCATAGTTCCCTTATTTGAACCTAATGGGAAGCTGTAGTTATGGGAAAGCTTCCTGGTTTGCATGTTCCCACTATAAATGAGCGAAGGGTCTGTGCGCACACAAAAAGCTAATCTGCATCTCGGTTTATTAAGCTGAGATAAGGTAGTCCCAACTGTTCCAGTGTTATACTACTTGATGGAACTTTGGCCTGATTTTGTATGTTAGTCTTTAGTTACATTCTGACGCCCTGATGCTGACAGGAAAACTAATAATTATACATCTTCTTCAAGCAATTGATAGTCTCAGCCTCGCTCCACACACTGTATTGGTTTTCTTCTGACACCTGTTGCATTTTGGAGAGGGAGGGCCAAACTCCGTGCGACTTTAAACATTGAGTTATCTCCTTGAGTGCAAGTTTTCTTCCTACAAATTGCCAAGCAGGGAGCCAGATCGTAGCAAGAGTGATTGGGGGGAGATGACTTTAACCCTTTAGAGATTGTGGTAGGGTTTTGATCTAAAGTGGACCCCCTGAGCTGGCAATTTGTGAATAAAAAAATTCACTATACAGTTAAGGTCACAAGTAGTTTGGGCTTGAGTGTAGCCTCTGTAAAGAGATATGGGTTATAGATTTTAGGAATGATTAATTCTTAGTCCTTTAGGGGAAGACTGTCTCACCATATATTATGGTGAGTTCTTTTTGGGGTGGGTGGGATTTATGCATTTTAATTAGACTACAAGCTCTGAAGAAGCTGTGGAGAATTAGAGAATCCATTCCTTTATTTTTTACCTCAGTTTCTCCCCACCCCCAATCATTAGTCTGCCAAGGCTTATGGGATTTACATATGAATGTTAAAAGTGAACTGTCCACAAAATGGCCATAGAAGCTATTAGCACGGAAAGATAATCAATAGGGAAATTGTTCCTTACAGTGCATTTTTCATGCAAAGTCATCACCAGAAAGCAATTTTACTGCCATACATGTATGCATGTGTATATATCTATATATCTATATAAAGATCATGAATATCACACCCCAGTTAAACAGTTTCCATATCCCCTTGGATTTTACAACATGGATGAAAAGGCAGTATTGTGCATTTCTAATGTGATGGCAGTGCGTTATATACAAATACTCTGCTTGAACTTGGATCCAGTTATAAAAAATGCCATTTGGATGAATAAAAGCAGATTGCTTACCTGTAACCATGGGTCTTGAGAGTGGTAAACTGTGGTGGCGCAACACACTCCTCCTTTCCCACTGCAGATGGCACAGTGACCTGCTGTTGCTCTGGAGCTTCCTTATAAAATCTGTTTATAAACCCTGAGGAACTAAACGGGAAGTTGGAGGCCATGCCACGTGCATACTGAGGGATGGTGGCAAGTTTCCTACCAAACTGCCCAGAAGGTGTTTATGTGTGACAGGGCCTTCTTAGTGGTGGTTCTCCATTTGTGGCATGTCCTCTGCAGTGAGGGCGGGGGGGTCTGCCCTACTCATTATTAACTTTAAGCAGAAACTTAAAAGAATTTTTTTAGTACAGTGGTACCTCTGGTTGCGAACGGGATCTGTTCCGAAGGCCCGTTTGCAACATGAAAAGCCAGCAACCTGAAGCGCCGTATCTGCACAGGTGTGTGGTGTGATTTGGCGCTTGCGCGCATGCACAAAGTGCGATTTAGCACTTCTGTGCATGCGGCAAAACCTGGAAGTAACCCTTTCCAGTACTTCCGGGTTGCTGCAAGACGCAACCTGAAAAAAACGTAACATGAAGCAAACGTAACATGAGGTATGAGTCCTCTGTTGGGAGCTGCCCAGAGTGGCTGGGGCAACCCAGTCAGATGGGCGACAAACACATTGTTGTTTTCTGTTTAACCAGGCAATTTATGGCTGAAAGCTACTGCTCTGGCCAACCCTGAAAGTATTACCTATGTGGGTAATAGCTTGATGGCTGTACTTTTAGATGTTATATACTGTTACTTCTAGGGTGCTGAGAGTTGTTAAGAGGCAACTCCATTCCCTTCAAAGAACTGCAGTTGCCAGAGTTCCCTGTGAAGAACTATTGATTGTTAAAGTACTATTGGGAATTGTAGTTCAAGTGCCTAGGGTGGGGGACAGGCAACTTCAAACATCTCTCAGCACCTTTGACAAACTACAGCCATCTCCACCCCCCAATTATCTGGGTGAAGCCATGACTGTTTAACATGGCAGCATAGTGCTTTAAATGTTCAGTATGGCTAGAGCAATAGTCGTGGATCGGTATTATACTATTGTGCACAATGAGGAGTAATAGAATATGTCCTATGATTTAAAAAATGAGAGTCCCACTTGTTGTTAGTCCTCTGTTTCCGATGTGCAAGCGTGAGAACTTTTGCTTATGTAGCCAAAATGGCATCACCCACAGAAAGGCAGGGATCAGTAGATTTTTTTTTGGGGGGGGGGGACATCAATATTTGCAGAAGTATAAAAATGATATATAATCTAAGATGTGGGGTGCGGAAGATGAACCCACAAAACAGTCCACTGAAGACCGAGCAGTGAACATGCTCTGCGACTACAGAATGCTGGCTGATTGTTCAGGAGAAAGAAATGGAAAACTTGGTGGGAAGGTATATAAAATCATGGAGGAAGGTGAAGATTTGCTACCAGTCCATGTTCAAACCCCGACTAGTGGGACAATAACTCAATGACTTCAAAAAACAATAAAGCACAATTATGATAGGTAAAGGTAAAGGGACCCCTGACCATTAGGTCCAGTCATGGCCGACTCTGGGGTTGCGACGCTCATCTCGCTTTATTGGCCGAGGGAGCCGGCGTACAGCTTCCGGGTCATGTGGCCAGCATGACTAAGCCACTTCTGGCGAACCAGAGCAGCGCACAGAAACGCCGTTCACCTTCCCGCCGAAGCGGTACCTATTTATCTACTTGCACTTTGACGTGCTTTCGAACTGCTAGGTTGGCAGGAGCAGGGACCGAGCAACGGGAGCTCACCCCGTCGCGGGGATTCAAACCGCCAACCTTCTGATCGGCAAGTCCTAGGCTCTGTGGTTTAACGCACAGCGCCACCCGCGTCCCAACACAATTCTGATACCTTACATTAAATATAGATATGCTGCAGTCCGTGTCTGAAATAAGCTCAAGGATGGACGATGCTTCTTTATACCTGTCCAGGTTTTGCTCTTCAAAACCAGTGGCTGAACCTCCATTGGTTTGAGAGGGGCTAGATCACAGCCTGAGAATTACTCTGCTTTGGATTGTGAGCGTTCATCAGCCTAGAGAGCAAAACCCCCACAAACGGCGCCTTTAAACATAACACACCACTGTGGTGCAGAGAGCAGCGCTTGAGTTATCAGCTTTTTCATTTTCACGGAGGTTATCTTTCCTGTTTATCTGATAGAACTATACACAAACCCCATGTTATAGGTTAGCCATCACAATGACATAAATATACTGGTTTCCTACTATTGAACAAACTCAATACCTCTTGCTCCGAGAAAGTGAAAAGGCAGAAAATGCGGTTAGAGAACCTAATTGTGGCGTTAGGTTCCTGTGTGGGAGTGCACTGCTCTCGCAGCAACGCAAAAAGCACATTTGTGGGTGAAAATACATACATATAGGGTTCTGGCTCCTTTAGTGCTGTTTCAAGTACTCTGAATTTATAGTCTAGTGTGGGTGGCATCATGCCTAGTGCTTTTTCACCTGCAATCTCCCATGCGGATTAGCAGGACATGCTGAAAATGCAGAGATTCCATACGGGCACCTTAGTTCTGCAGGGGTCACCAACGTAGTGCCCATGGGCACACATGCCCAAAAAGCCATCCCTGGCCCCAGCAGCTCCCCCCACAGTAGCCTCTCAGAGAATAGGAGGTGCTCTTAGTCTTCTCTCATCCCTAAAGGAGCAGGGAGTGTCCTCTGAGATCTCCTGGGCTCTGCACCTGCCCAGTGATTCATAGAAGGCCCTTTCCCCCACTTCAAGCTTTGGGTAAGGTTGATTTGATCGCCTCCCTCTTGTTCCTTCTGTAGAGCTTTATTCCCTTGTTCCTGACATAGCTCTTCACTCACCCCTTCTTGCTTGGCCAGGGGGAAGGCCCTATGTTCTAGTTTGCCTTAGGTGTCAAAATGTATTGGGCCAGCCCCCTGACGCTTGGTTGCAGGGAGTGTCTCTCTAGTGCCCATGACTATTTTTCTAGCTTACAAAAAGTTGGCAACTCCTGTACTGTACTGGTTCAGTTTCTACAGCATGTCAGAATAGTGAAACAGTGAAGCAGAGATAGGAAGAATTAATCGTTTCAGATGTCAGAAATGATTAATGCTTTGCTCTTTAGAGGGAGATACATTCGCGATGTAAGCATTTTATTTTATTTTACTACAGTAAGCTTTGAGGGAGCTGTTGGGAGTTATGCAAGCCGTACCCTTAGTTTCACCTTCATGTTGAGAAACTGTTATGCGTGTGCATGTATGTGCGAATAAACACTTGTGATTAAACCTCAAGAGGGGCACCATTTTCAATGACAAATTCAATTTTCATCAGTTCCAATTCTGCATTGTTTACTGATCGACGCTTTGCTACCCTTTTAGACTCATCAGAAAGAAACGAGACTTCATCCTGTTTGAAGATGAGAATGTAAAAGCAGCCTGCTGGATTCAGGCCAATGGCAGCCTATCTAATCCAGCATTCTGTTCTCACAGTGGCCAACCAGATGCCTGTGGAAAGCCTTCAAGTTGGACATGAACACAGAAGGCCTCTCTCCACCTGTGATGGCCAGAAATTCAGAGACATCCTGCCTTCAACAGCTCTGTTGCCTGCAACAGTACCTGTGAAGACAAACCTATCCTTAAAGTAACACACTTCAGCTCAGACCTCATCTTGAGTTCTAGCACCACCTATGGATGAAATAAAATAAATCCTGACTGCTTATCTCCCAACACACAAAATAAGGCGGAATGGGATGCTTTCCCCTTCCCCAGCAATCCTCTGCAAACATCCCTTGGAAAGGAAGCTTCTTAATATCAGAAAGCAGATTGCTGGCTCAAATTCTTTCAGTGAAATGGTGCAATGTGGGCTAATACAACATGATCCTCCAAGCCCCACACAGCAAACCTCTGGTGGGTGCACTGCATGGCTGGCTGCGCTCAGCGGGTCACACGTTGTGCAGGTGTGATGTTGTTAATTAGAGCCCCCAAATGATACACTGACTGCAGCTGCTTTTATTGAAAGTTGCAGAAATGGGAGTGACCTCTGCTTCAGTTTTTTTTAATATCTGCCCATATAGTCAGGAACACACATGATGAAATCTGCTCATTATTGCCAAACTGCCCCACCGAGTTTGTACAGTGGTACCTCGGGTTTCAGATGCTTCAGGCTATGTGATTTCGGGTTGCGCACCGCGCTGAACCTGGAAGTACCGGAATGGGTTTCTTCCGGATTTCGGCACTCACGCAGAAGTGCTAAACCACGCTTTGCGCATGCGAAGAAGCACTGAATCGCGACCCGCACATGCACAAACGGGGCGCTGCGGGTTGCGAACGTGCCTCCTGCACGGATTATGTTGGCAAGCCAAGGTTCCACTGTACGGCATTGAGATACGATGTTCTGCCCCATGGCTGGCGACAGAGAGTATGCATGGAATGCCTGAAATAAGTGAGCTTACTGCACTGAAACCCGCAAATCGCAAATATAGCTTGGCTTGTGCGCAGAACGTAGCTGCCCCAGGCTACACTGCTGTTTGGCTGCAAGGGAGGACGGCACACAATTCTGGCTTATGCTGTGGTTCAAGAGCTGTTCCCTTGGGTTCCAATACAGAGTATCTGATATTCAAAAAGGAGTCGACCGGCTTTTGCTTTGAGCAAAATCCCCAGGTCGTGTCAACTTATTTTTATTGTTCGGCTCCTATATCATCAACAGGACCAAGGCAGGTTTTTCTTACCATTTTCCAATCTTTTAGTGTAGCAGCACCTAAACTTTGGAACTCCCCGCCTATTGACATCACACAGACCCCTTTGCAATACTTGGTTGGCGCCTGCTTAGAACATTTTCGTTTGGGCAGGCCTATCCAGACGCGGGTGGCGCTGTGGGTTAAACCACAAAGCCTAGGACTTGCTGATCAGAAGGTCGGTGGTTCGAATCCCCGCGACGGGGTGAGTTCCCGTTGCTCGGTCCCAGCTCCTGCCAACCTAGCAGTTTGAAAGCACCTCAAAGTGCAAGTAGATAAATAGGTACCGCTCCGGTGGGAAGGTAAACGGTGTTTCCGTGCACTGCTCTGGTTCGCCAGAAGCAGCTTAGTCATGCTGGCCACACGACCCGGAAGCTGTACGCCGGCTCCCTCGGCCAATAAAGCGAGATGAGCGCTGCAACCCCAGAGTCGGTCACAACTGGACCTAATGGTCAGGGGTCCCTTTACCTTTATCCGGACATTAAGAAGTTACTGTTGTTTTTAACCATTTGTTGAATATTTTCAAATATTTAACTTTTTAAAACTTATATATTTTTTTGTAAACCGCTTAGGTTTTTTACAATCAAGTGGTATATAAATTTTGTTTCTTTATCTATTCCAGCGATGGCTGGGACCCAGACAGAAAGGTCAACGCCCCGCTCTACTGAGTTCTATGATGGCAACACTGAGACTGACAAGGAAGCTGACAGCTGGTGCTGGATTGGCTGTAAGGTGAAGGTTGGCTGGATGCAAATCCAGTGCTTTTGCAGCAGTGCTCCTTTCTCCCTATAGGACTAGCATCTTCTGCCTATTTACATGCACATCAAGCTACCATCAAAGATGCAGAAATGCAGCCAGTAAAAAAAAATTAATGTGTCGGACCTCCCCGCTCAAACCCTGTTTTTGGAGCGAACCTTGCAGTCTCGGATTACTTAGTCCTACCAAAATCTCTGCATAATTGCAATTACAGTACAATTTGGCATAGGATTACAGTCCAAGGCTGTGCCATTATTTCAAAATATATTATATTTACTTTGAACATGATTGTGGAAAGCCTGGGAAATGAAAGCCAATGCGGAATTGGAAGAAAAACAACAACACACTCTTCCCTGAAATTCGCTGGGTTACAAACATCGTGACTGGAGTTGGCTGTGAAGCTGTAAGATAATTTCAGTGCAACTTTTTTTGCTATATGTATTTTAAGGCTGTAACCTTCAAATGGGGCAAGAGGTGTAGGAGGGACAGTATTTGCTACCAAGCAGCTGTGAAATATTGTGTCGTGCACCAAACGAACAATCTAGCGCAGGAATGGGCAAGAGATGAACCGTGTGTAATGAATACTGCACCTCACTGGGTGGCCCGTTTGTAGAATCTCATACTTTCTCCGCTCCCTGGTCTCAAAAGCATAACCACCACTAAGCCTGTTAAAACATGCACGCAATACAGTGGTACCTCGGTTCTCATATGTAATCCATCCCGGAAGACCGTTCGGGTTCTGAAACGTTCGAAAACCAAGGCGCAAAGAGCTGTCGGCAAATTCAGTTGAGAAAATTGAAAAACACACAGCAGAAGCCATTTGACTTCTGAGGCGTGGTCGGAAATGGAAGCATTCACTTCTGGGTTTTCGGCGTTCGGGTTCCGAAACGTTCATCAATGGAGACATTTGAGAACTGAGCTGCCACTGTATTCTGTAAGAGGAGGGGCTCTATTTGCAGTAAGGCATGGAATGCAGGGGCAGTCAACACGGTGCCCTCAGAACGTTGTTGGACTACAACTCCCATCACCCCCCAAGTCGGTCTGGCCGATGGTCAGGGATGATGGGAGCTATAGTCCGACGACAGCTGGGCTACCCCTGGAGTGAAGCAATGAACTGGCACAACACCAGGGATCGCTTCGCCTTCTGTACTTCTGTACTCTAATCTGGATCCAGGGCCAAATCTGATGTGCTAACTGAGTGCTGAGCAAATGCGCTCTTCTTGAACTAATCTGGTATGGAGTCTGCAGGACACAGCAAACTTGCACCACTTTGGATAATGGAGTAGACTTGCTTGGGCACGTCGGCGTGAGAAGGGGAGGAAAAGATGGGAGGAGGGGGCACCGAGGTGGCCACAGTGATGCTCTGGTCCTCATCGCTCACCACTGTCACCTCCCCAGCCCCTTCCTGAATCAAAGCATTGAGTCCTTCCAAATCGGAGCAGCTGATCTCAGCACTGCTGATGAAAGCCTGGGTAGCCGAGGCTTCGTGGCTGCCTACAGGGATGTCGGGTATCAGAGTCTGGCCGGGCGTGCTTCTGTCCCCTGGACTGTGGGTTGTGAGGAGCACGGCCGGTTGGCCCATTGAAATGCTTTCCGCTTGAGACCCCGGGGGCAGAGGGGGAGCCAGCAAGCTCACTTGCTGCAGGATTTGCAACTGGCCGTTGCCAGACAGATCTTCTTGGTTCTGGCTTATTAAGGCTGGCGGTACGATGTTCACGGAAGCCGCTTGCACCAGACCGCCGGCTTGGGGTACTTGATGTCCAACGATGATCTTCACCTGCCCTTTGGCGTAAGGCGAAGCCTGCAGCGGGACCTGGAGGTGGCTGACTGTAATAGGGGCGCCGCTTGGCCTCGTGGGGTCCACCTGGAACTGCAAAACGGCCAGCTCCGGGTTCTTCGCCCCGTTGTACTCGACGTGTTGCCTCTTGTGGCTCCGCAAGGAGTCTTCCCGGACAAACGAGGCCTCGCAGAGATCGCACTTGAAAGCTTTCTTGGCCTCCAGCCTGGCCACTTGCCTGGAGCCGCCTTCCTTCGGCCGGTCTCCTTCCCCCTTCTCGGCCGCCTTCTTCTTGGCTCTGACCTTGTCCCCGTGCGCCTTCTTCATGTGCGTGGTGAGGTTGCTGCGCTGCTTGGTGTCAAAGCTGCAGAACTCGCACTTGAACGGCCGGTCCTTGAAGTGGATCCGCTCATGCACCTTGAGGGTGGCCTTGTTGGAGCAGGAGTAGCTGCACTCCGAGCATTTCACTGGCTGCTCGGGCTGGTGGGTGCGCAGGTGGTGCCGGAGGCTGGTCTTGTTCCCGCACTGGAACTCGCACTCGAGGCACCGGTAGGCGTTCTCCATGCTGTGCTTGATGCGGATGTGCGACTTCAGGTTGCCCTTCATGGCGCAGCGCACGTCGCAGTAGTCGCACTTGTAGGGCTTCTCCCCCGTGTGCACGCGCATGTGCCTCTTCAAGTCCGAGTTGATTTTGAATTTGGCGCTGCAGAGGCGGCACTGGAAGGGAGCGTCTCCTGTCCGTGAGAAAAGCGTTTCGAATTAGGGGCGTTTGGACCAAGAGATGCAGGACAATAAGGATAAACTCCAATGGATCTGCATTGGTGTTTCTGAAAGATGATGATCATTTATTTACCGCCCTTTATAGGAAGTGTCAAACACTAAAAACATATTTTACAAAGTGAAATAATAAAAAAACAAAGAATAAAAACCGATAGCATAGTAAAATTAATCATAATAATAGTACCCACCTGCAACACATTTAACAGGCCATAGATTATTTACAGTGGTACCTTGGGTTACATACGCTTCAGGTTACATATGCTTCAGATTACAGACTCCGCCAACCCAGAAATAGTGCTTCAGGTTAGGAACTTTGCTTCAGGATGAGAACAGAAATTGTGCTTTGGCGGCGCGGCGGCAACTGCAGACCCCATTACCTAAAGTGGTGCTTCAGGTTAAGAACAGTTTCAGGTTAAGAAGGGACCTCCAGAACGAATTAAGTACTTAACCTGAGGTACCACTGTACACTGGTCTGTGACTTGGGATTGCGTTTGTAATGGCCAAAGGCTTGGGTAAAGAGGAAAGTTTTTGCAGGCCGTCTAAAGACGTGTAATGATGGTGCCAGGCGAACCTCTCTAGGGAGAGCATTCCACAGATGGGGAGCCACCACAGAAAAGGATCCCTACAATGTTGGATCCCTACAAACCTCTTGGGGAGAGAAGGGCCTCGGATGACAAGCGCAAGGTCTGGGGCGGTTCATATGGGGAGAGATGGTCCTTAAGGTATTGAGGTCCTGAGCTGTGTAAGGCAGGCATAGGCAAACTCCGGCCCTCCAGATGCTTAGGACTACAATTCCCACCATCCCTGACCACTGGTCCTGCTAGCTAGGGATGATGGGAATTGTAGTCCCAAACATCTGGAGCGCCGGAGTTTGCCAAGCCTGGTTAAGGCTTTATAGGTCAACACCAGCACTTTGAATTGGGCCCGAAACTAATTGGCAGGCAGTGTAGTCGGGCCAGGATTGACATTATATGATCAAACCGTCTTGTTCTGGTGAGCAACCTGGAGCTAGCCCATGAACATGAGGAGACTCCTGCTAGATCAGACGAAAGCACCACTGCGTCTAGGATTCTCTTCCCATAGCTGCCATCTCATAGCTGCACATGGAAATCCCACAAACACCACAGAAGTCTCCAGCTAGTGACCCCCAAGCAACTGGTATTCAGAGTAGCATATTGCCTTCAAAAATTGGACGTAATATACTGTCATCTTGGCTAGCAGCCACTGAAAGCATTATCCTCCACAAATTTGCCCGCCTCCCCTTCTAAAGCCATCCAAGCTAGTGGCATCACAAAGCAAACCCCACAGTTTAACAAAAATAATCAAGAGTCTTTGGACACCCTAAAGTAGCCTTTCTCAACCTGTGGGTCCCCATGTGTTGTTGGACTACAACTCCCATCACCCCTAGCTAGCAAGGCCAGAGCTCAGGGACGATGGGAGTTGTAGTCCAACAACATCTGGGGACCCACAGGTTGAGAACTGCTGCCCTAAAGGCTAATAAAATTTACCTTGACATCTGATGAAGAGGGCTTGGGCCCACAAAATCTTTGGCCACAATGAATTTATTACGACTTTGAAGGTGCCATGACAATTCGGGTTGTGGCCAGTCTTTCTCAGCGTAGTCCCACTGAAATGAATGGACCCAGGTTTTCATCACGCTACCCACTGCAACACCGAGATCCCTTTCAGCTGAGACCCCATCAGTCATTTTAGTGCCTGTTCTCTCAATTTGCACCATAAAATTTCATTGCTCCCACCCCTCTTTCGCAAGAGATGGGTTTCTCTTCTTTTGAGCGGGGAAGGGCATAATTTGTCCGCAGCCACAAATGCACAAACCCAGCACTTCAACGTCAAACGCAAATAAATGCTTCATTATATATACTATCTGAAGGGGAGGGAAGACAGGACACCTGCATTCTGAAACCTACAGATTTCCCCCCAGAAAAAAATGCCACCATTTCCTTGCCTGCCCTTCACTTCCCTCCTTATCTCCCAATAGCTCTCCTCCAGTTATTTGTCCGCACGTCTGATATGCAAGCTTTGCATATTTAATTATTATAGTAACATTCTTGTTTCCCCCCCTAGGCGAAGTATCTGTTTGAAAAGGAAGGCAAGCGGAATGCATCGAAAAGGGGAGTAAATGGAGAATACCAATGTTCAGGAGCCAAGACAGACCTCAGCACAACAATTTGCAGGAATTATATCCGAAAACATGCCTTAGCTTTCGTAGCGTTACGCCTCCACAGCTGGTAGGACCTGCCTAATCAACAGAGCAATACAGCGCAAACATGCACAGTATTGATACCTTTCACAATACGAACGGCGGGGTTTTCATTTCGCAAAGAGTAGCCAATTATCGCTAATACCATATCACAAAGCAGCACTGTTGACTTATTGCTGCTCTAAGCTACTTGAACAGCGCGGCGCTCCTTTGTTATTCTGTGTATATCACGCACACACGCTCAGAAGTGAGTGAATGAGCCACGGGGTGCCATTTAAGGCAGAAATAAAATGTAAGGAGGTCCTTGGTTCAGTGAACGTTGCAGCTCTTTTAAAAAATCACAACACACATGGCTTAATTTACTTTACCAGTTAATATTTTATAGATCTTCATAAATGGGAGACTGTAAAAAAAAAAAAAAAGTAGGCGCAAGTTGCTTACCCGGCTACATATTTCATTGATCGGGCGGAAGATATTTCAAATTGCGATGTGGCATACTGTGCTAATCCACAAGCTTGCTTAATAATTGAGACCCTGGGTGTAAAATGTTTATTATACACATTTTATTAATGAAGACACACAGCCTGCCAGTTCAATTTGTTTTACAGGCCAGCCCTTCCAGCTGCGTATACCACTGGGTGAACTGCAAGAGTCAGTCATTGAATTTTTACCTACTTTCCTGATGAAAACCGGGTGAGGCACACGATCCAATGGTCCCCAATTTCAGATGCCAAGCCATTCTAGAGATCTGCAGAAGCTAAATGTCAGCTGTACATTTAATGTTCCAATCTAGAGATTGATCTGTGTCACCGGTTGTTTTTCCTCCTCAATGACCCTATTGGATTTGACTTTGGCAAAGGAAGTTTAATTTATTACTATTTTCCTTTTCTTTGCAGAGCTTCATTTGTAAAAGATGAAATGCCCATGCAAGAAGAGAATGGAAATTAAGAGGGGACTACTGAATGGCCGGGACGCGAGTGGCGCTGTGGGTTAAACCACAGAGCCTAGGGCTTGCTGATCAGAAGGTTGGCGGTTCGAATCCCTGGGACGGGGTGAGCTCCCGTTGCTCGGTCCCTGCTCCTGCCAACCTAGCAGTTTGAAAGCACGTCAAGTGCAAGTAGATAAATAGGTACCGCTTCGGCGGGAAGGTAAACGGCGTTTCCGTGCACTGCTCTGGTTCGCCAGAAGCGGCTTAGTCATGCTGGCCACATGACCCGGAAGCTGTACACCGGCTCCCTCGGCCAATAAAGCGAGATGAGCACCGCAACCCCAGAGTCGGCCACGACTGGACCTAATGGTCAGGGGTCCCTTTACCTTTACTGAATGGCCGAGCCTAAGACCTGCAGGATCTGAGTCTAAGCAGAGATGGCAAGGATAGCCTTTCCTTTGGAGATTCTATCAGGGTTGTGTGAAAGGGCAGAGCATCACATTCCAAGAACCTCAACGTACCTGGGAAGTCCTCTCTAGGCACAGGTGTGCTGCATCAATCCTTGCACTTGATAAGCAACACAAAGCCTGTGGATGGGCAACCCTAGTAGAAAGCACCCTGGCCTTCTGACCATGCCAGGTCAACAGACCAGGGGCTCTGGCTTGCTGTTCCTCAGGCTCCAGCTGTTGGTCCTAGGAACCCTGAGTTTGAGATCCTCCATATTGAAGCAGCTTAGCCCACAGCCCTGGTTTGGCCCTGACGCAGCTCTGTAGTTTTCAGTTTTTAGTCATAATGGGTGGAACAGCATCTGGAGAGGACATGGGCAACATCTGGTTGTGAGAGATACTTACAGCCAACTTTTGAGCAGGCCAACTCTTGGGAGTTCCAGTGTGATCCAGGTTCTTAACAGTTTTTCCCAATGAATCCAGCACTAGACTTTTATACACATGTGTGCGTTGGGAAACCTGTGCCTTATAGACCCAACTTGGCCTGCCACCAGGCCTCCCCGTTTGGCCTGTGAGCCCATTTTGGTCAACCTGCCACACACATGACGTCATATATACATGCAGGTCCAATTGCTATCCAACTGCTCGCTCTATGAAAATTCACTTATCCAAAAACGAGGACCCTCGCTATGCACATTGTAGATTCAGATACCCAAATAGCCAGTCCTCCATGTCCTCCTCTGTAAACCAATCAGCCTTACTTTTTGGTGTTTTGCTAGTCTTGAAACACCCATTTCAACAGAAACCATGGCGGGAAGAATAGGAGAGACTGGACAAATAAGAGAACATTTTCTCCTTCCTTGTTTGCCTTTTGCAAGGTTCCAGAGGGTTTTCCGTCATTTGGGGGTCAGATTTCCATGGTCAGGAACACATTCAAAATTTCCCCACAGGAATCAATGGAATTTGAAGAGTCGTTATGTGAACTCTCACCTAGCAATTGATTTCCTGAGAAGTGATTGTGTTTGCATAGTGAGACGTGCTTGTATATAAATATTCGGGGCAGGAAAACACAGCTAAAAGGGGGTTTGCAAACATCACCAATCAGCTGGCCTGCAAAGCTCTGTGGAAAGCTCTCTGCTTAGGGCTTTGCAAGATCATGGCAAACCTGTCCCTGTCCTTACCTGTATGGGACCTGAGATGCACCGTGAGCTGGCTGGAATTGCGGCTTGCGTAAGGGCAGATCTGGCACTTGAAAGGGCGCTCGTTTGAATGGATGCGCTGGTGCTTGTTCAGGCTGCTGCTTTCGGAAGCTGCGTAGTCACAGTGCTTGCACTTGTAGGGCTTCACTCCACTGTGGGATCGCATGTGCATTTTCAGCTTGTCTTTGCGGCTGAAGCTCTTTCCGCAAACCTCACATTTGTGGGGCTTGTCACCTAAAACAACGGCATCAACAAAAAGCCAAGGTGCAGCAGGGTTGAGATGAGTTGCATTACACGGAACAAAGAGATCCTTAATGGAAGAATGTTTCCCTTTCCCTTTTTGTCATGGGTTTATTATACTTTAGAGGTTTCCTCCATGCTATTTGTCTTTTTCTCCAGCAAACTGAGGATGTGCAGAGAGGCAGGCATAGCTTTGAGAATGCATCTGCTTGCAATACATTAATTTTACAGGTGGGATCTGAAACAAAACTTTGCAGTGTGCAATGCTTTCCATCAGGGCTCCAGCCACCCAATTCTATCCCCTCCCTGCACCATCTTCCACCTCAATAGTTAGTTATCCTTCTGCACCCATTGAGTATGTTCTGGTGGATCCTTTTCTTTCCATTGTGGTTTTTCTTAATGGAGAGGAGGGTCGAATCCAAGCTATGCTACAATATTTTATTTATCCATTGAAGTCTATCAGCAAATCATGCTTCCATCCTTGGGACACTTTAAAATAGCTTCTCAGCATGAATCAAGAAATGGGACGTGGGTGGCGCTGTGGGTTAAACCACAGAGCCTAGGGCTTGCCGATCAGAAGGTCGGCGGTTCGAATCCCCGCAATGGGGTGAGCTCCCGTTGCTCGGTCCCAGCTCCTGCCAACCTAGCAGTTTGAAAGCACATCTAAGTGCAAGTAGATAAATAGGTACCGCTCTGGTGGGAAGGTAAACGGCGTTTCCATGCGCTGCTCTGGTTCGCCAGAAGCGGCTTAGTCATGCTGCCCACATGACCCGGAAGCTGCACACCGGCTCCCTCGGTCAATAAAGCGAGATGAGCGCCGCAACCCCAGAGTTGGTCACGACTGGACCTAATGGTCAGGGGTCCCTTTACCTTTATGAACCAAGAAGTGACCTTTCCAGACAATGAGATGCTTCATTCTACCCATTTTCACATCTCTGTCTCCTTTCTTCCCCTTTCCAGCCTTTCCATTCCCCCTCCCATGGTTGTCAGTCCCCCCACTCAACATTCTGTGTGAGTGGATATTTATGGGTTGCCCAATTCCTTAGTAGTCCCTCCCCCCCCCCAAGATTTTTTTAGCACCTGCAAATCTTAGGGTTACTTCAAGTCTGCAGGTACTCCTGGGGTTGGAAATGAGGGAGGAAAAAGAACAAAAATGTGTTTAAGGAAAAAATACAAATACAAAATTGCAATGTAACATACTCCCATGCATTCTTGTATAAACTGATACAGTGTTATTATCTTAATGCATATATAGATGTTAATCGCCTACTACGTTCTGTATAAACTCATTCCAAATGTTATCGTATTTATCCAAGTGAAGTCTGTGCCCGTAAGCAGAACACAAATGGGCCCAGGAGACCTGTGTACATTGGTTGAGGGGGGCGGGTAGGGCAATTAGGGCTGTATAACTCATTTTAAGGCTATATAAGGCTGCTTACCAGTGTGTGTTCTTAAATGTCGTTCCATGTCTTTCATACCATAGGATGTCTTGAACTGGCAGCCTGGGGAGGGAAAAAACGGAGAGGGCCAGCTATTATTTATTTATTGACTTTTACCCTACACTTTCTCCAAGGGTTCCAGGGAAGGGCATACAATTCCCCCCTCCTCACAACTTTAAATCTTTGAGTGACCCAAGGTCACCCGTTGAGTGGATTTGAACCCAGGTCTCCCTGGGCCTAGCGCAACACTGGTCCTCAACAAGCATATATGACCTAGAACTAGGCCTCTACTAGAACTCTGCTCCTTATTCCTCTCCCTGGACGCCAAACTTCTACGGATGCCAGCAGTCAACAAGTCTGCTGGGAGACACAGCCATGTTGTTTCCTGACGTTGCTCGCAGTTGACATGGCAACAGGAAACAGGGCAGCATTTCCTTCAGGGCAACTTTGGGTGGGCAGAGCAGAGGCAGGAGTGGGTGGAGCAACAGATGTAAATTTCCCCTTCATACAGTAGGCTAGTTTCTACCCAAACTCGCACACACCTCGGTGTTAGAAATTAGCCAGGCGCGTGTTGCTACTGGCGAGGGTCCAACTACGACCATGTGGAAATCTCTGGCTGCCAAGGTGGCGACTGACATCTCCATCTGGCTGGCCCCTCCAGGTTTAAGCAGAAGAGCTTATTTATTCTGTTTACATCGCACTTTTTTCTCCAAGGAGTACAGGGTTCACTCCCCTCCTCGGTTAATCCCTACAACGACCCTGTGAGGTAGCTTAAGAAGCTGTTACTGGCCCAAGGTCACCCAGTGAGCTTCATGACTGAGTGGGGATTTGAACCCTGATCTCCCAAGTCCTAGTCCAACACTCTAACCACTACACCACACTGGCTTCCTAAAGCACTCCTGCTATGGGGCAGCTATATAAATTAAGTAAATAAATATGGGGAAAGCAAAATGCCACTTAGAGGAGGATCTGAAATATTTTCCTTGAAGCTTGAATTTCTTTTATTCTGGATTGCTTTATTTGATGTTTTACTGTGTTGTAAACTGCTTTGAGATTTTTTCTTTAAGATATAAAGAGGTATAGAAATGAAATTAAGAAGAAATAGTAGTAGTTTCATAGCAAAAAAAAGAAGAAAAAAAAGGCACCTAGACATTCCGTTGTGGCAACCGTAACCTAGGTTTAAATTGCCATTTGGGGATTAGCTTATCTATCCGAGTTTATAACACTGCTCTCCATCCTCTATCCAGGGAAGCAAGAGACACTGGCAGAGTCAAAGAGCATACCCCAGCCACTTGGGATGTGAAACACAGCCAGTGAGGGTGCAGTTTTGGGACAGCTCCATGGGGCAGATAAGAGAGGTCCCCTGGCCTGGAATCCCCCTTCAATCCCACATTCAGACCCCGGATAGGCAGATAAGGTTGAAGTGCAGTCAGCAAGCTTCAAAGCTGAGCAAGGATTTGATTCTACACCCTCCTGGTTCAGGTCCAATGACCCCCTAGTAGGTAGGTGTGCAGGTGTTTTGCCTGAATTATCAACACTGTCTGAGGTTAGAAGCACAGTGAGAAATGGACATAACTTCCAGGTAAGATTCTTAAGGGAAGACGGGTTTTGAAACGGAACATTCTGATGAAGTTAGCTGACCTAATTACACAAGCAAGGCTTCCCACCCACCTACCTTCCCATGACTTTGGCCTGCGTGATCAATGGCTATATAAATTAATTAAAAAGCACTTCCATGAATCTTCTTGAAACTTTGCGGCCATGTCACTGATTAAAATTCGTTTAAGCATTTCCAATTTATTTCCCCCCCCCTCTGGAAGCAGCAGAGCAAAGCAGAGGATGTAAGGAACGATTCGGAAGAACAATTCACGAGGGGCAAAGACACTTGAGGTCCCTGAGACTCCTTAGGGTGGGGTGGGGTGGGGTGAGGCGGGGTGAGGCAAGAAAATCCTGAAAAAGGAGGCTATCATTTTAACTGTGTATCATCTATATGTATACAGGAGCCATACTGCTGAGCCTCACTAACTGGAAAATGCATTTTTTCTTTCCTTCCAAAGACTGCTTTTGTCGATCATATTCCTGCTAATATGCAGGCAATGTTTCCCAAAGCAATGGCAGCTAAAGAGGGTAGTGTGGTGTAGTGGTTAGAGTGTTGGACTAGAGTTCAAATCCGGACTCACCAATGAAGCTCCCTGGGTGACCTTGGGCCTCTCAGGCCAATCTACCTCACAGAGTTGTTGTAGGGAGCTTGGGTAGGTGTTTGTTGCTGTTGCTGTTAATTTTTAATATATATTTATACTGGATCTTGTGATTTATGTGGAAATTTGGCTGTGCGCTTTTTGATGTTTTGCTTATTGTTGATGACTAGTTTTGTTATGTTTGCAGTTATGTATTTTTTATATGTTGCAAGCCACCTTGCACACGGTTTGAACTTTGGAAAGGCAGTATCCAGTCATACCTCAGGTTGAATGTGCTTCAGGTTGAGTGCTTTTGGGTTGCGCTCTGCAGCAACCCGGAAGTAACGGAGCACATTACTTCCGGGTTTCACCGCTCGCACACGCGCAGATGCTCACAATGACATCATGCGCATGTGTGGAAGCGGCAAAACGCGACCCGCACACATGCATCTTATGTTCTATTCAGGGTGCAAACAGGGCTCCGGAACAGATCCCGTTCACATCCCGAGGTACCACTGTACAAAGGATTGATTGAATAGGAGGGGGAATAACAATGTTTACCCACTTTATTTATTTATTGAATTTATATACCTGCCCTATAACCACAGGTCTCAGGGCAGTTGAACTCCTTGGAGAAAAACATGGGGTGTAAACACAGCAAATAAATAAATAAATAAATAACCCATCCTCCTCAACCGCTATGAGGTTTATAGCAATTTCCACTGTTTTTTTCCACCTGCAAAGAAGGAGATTTTGAACTTTCCTACCCTAAAGCAACAGAATAGAATGGTGGGATCCGTGAACCAGCAACAGCCAGGGGATCTAAACCGCAGAAGCAGTCACTTCTATGGTCCCAATACTGCCACACTGTCTAAACCAGGAATAGGCAAACTTGGCCCTCCAGATGTTTTCGGCCTACAACCATGATCCCTAGCTAACAGGACCAGTGGTCAGGGATGATGGGAATTGTAGTCCCAAAACATCTGGAGGGCCAAGTTTGCCCATGCCTGGTCTAAACACAAGCATATACTTTACCTGGATAGCAGCAGTTAAGTTTCTTTTGCGCCCCTGATGTGGCGGACTTTCTGGCGCGAGGTTTCGGTGTAGTGGTGACAACGGCGGCAGGCTGAGGCTCACTGCTCTCACCAGGTAGGTAGGTTTGGTAGCCATGCTCAAAAACAAACTCTGGCGCAGAAACTCAAAAGCAACCAGGAAAAAAAGACTTGTTTTAACATCAGAGCACTGCAAAACCACACAGCTTCTGCGAACCCTCAATATAAGAAGAACATAAAATTACTCCCAATCTTGAGACTATAATGCAATCTTCTTTTCTTTTTCTTAACTGCTTCCTTGTCAGTGAAAGAAACGCCACAAGGTTCACTAATCAAAGCTGGTCAGGAAGGAAACTTTTAAGTTAGCTATGAGACTAAGCTCCCATATGCACTATGAATTTGAACAGCTGTGGCTCCCTGCACAGAATCCTTGGAGGTGTATTTTGTGAATGGCGCTGAGAGTTGTTAAGCTACCCCTCTTCCCAAATCATTTACAGGCAAGAAGAAGAAAAGAGCCAACTTTTGCAATACTTTTCTGCCTGGTCACCTGGAGGTGATTTTTATTTGCCACAGGTGGCAAAGTAAGCGGCTGCGTACAAGAATGAACAAGGAAGTGAGCTTAGGGACCTGTCTTATACCAGCTAAGATTCTTCTTCCATCTTGCCCAGCATTTCCTGTTTTGACTGGCAGTGACTGAATGCCAGGGTCAGGCAGAAAGGACTTTTCCAGTACTTGCTATCTGAACTTTTGAACTGGAGATGCCAGGGAAATTCTGCACAGAAGGCATGTGCTCTACCACTAAGGCACTTTCCCCCAAGTGGCATACATTGAGCCATACCAATGACCAATCTAAGCCAATGTTCTCAGCTCGGACTGGCAGCAGCTCTCCATGACCTTAAGCAAAGACATTTCTTTTCTTTGCCAGTGGGACAAAGCTTTAGTGCAGGGGTCAGCAAACTTTTCCAGCAACTTTTCCTGTCGGCATCATGGCATTGGAATGTAACTAAAGACTGACATACAAAATCAGGCCAAAGTTCCATCAAGTAGTATAACAATGGAACAGTTGGGTCCGGGGGTCAGCAAACTTTTTCAGCAGAGGGCCTGTCCACTGTCCCTCAGGCCTTGTGGGGGGCCGGACTATATTTTGAAAAAAATAAAAAATATATATGAATGAATTCCTATGCCCCCAAATAACCCAGAGATGCATTTTAAATAAAAGCACACATTCTACTCATGTAAAGACACCAGGCAGGCCTCACTAATAACCCAGAGATGCATTTTAAATAAAAGGACACATTCTACTCATGTAAAAACATGCTGATTCCCGGACCGACCGCAGGCCAGATTTAGATGGCGATTGGGCCGGATTCGGCCCCCCGGCCTTAGTTTGCCTACCCATGCTTTAGTGTTTCCTTTGCCCAGGGTACCCCTGCTACTGAAGCATACAATGCTAGGGCTTAGTTTTGCCACGAAGATGCCACTACCCAAACTTCCTGGATAAATACCTGTGATCGTTTGGGTTTCTGAAGTGATGGTCCTGGTTGTGGTTTGGGTCTGGGTCGCTGGCACGGTTTCTTCTGCTACAAACTGTACTGTGCTGGTGGTCTCCGCTGTCGTGCCGGACAACTGGCAGCCGCTTCTCTTGTGAGCGACGAACGCATCTAGGTTATTGAACTGCTGCTTGCACAGGCCACAAATGTGAATATCTGGTGTGAGCTCCACCAGGACAGTGGTGCCTCCTGGAACTGTTAAAAGACACCAAATTGAACAAAACAATTAATAAGTACCGTGGAAATGGCAACAGAAATTTTATTTGTTGCCAAGGTTATTGTTTGCAAGTTACTGGAAACAATGAAATGGTTGAACAGGGTTCACCAACATGGCAGGCATCCTGGTACCCATTGAGCCTCTGAGCCTCCCCGTGCACTGCCCACTTGTTCATGACGTAGGGAGGGCGGTTACTGTATCCTCCCTTGGAAGTCACATAGAGTTGAAGGAGAAAGTTGGAAGAGTGATGCTCTTTCTCATTTCCTCTTTCAGCTCTATGTGCTTTTCCAAGGCTGATTAATTCAACTAGCTCTGACATTTATCCAGAACGTACAGAAAAGTGGAATATGTGTTCATTCACTTTCTCTATTTCTGTCTCTTGGGTGGGGGGGGGGGAGAGGAGTATCCAGAGCAGAAAAAGAAGGTTTGGTGTCCACAGCACTTGCTGAAAAATGTAATTGTGCCCACTGACCTTGGTGAACCCTGCACTGGAAAAACATTATTATCCCACAGCTCAAAAGAAGCTTCAGCAGTAAATAAATAAATAAGTTTTTATTTATACCCTGCTCTCCCCGGCCTGGGCCGGACTCAGGGCGGCTAACACCAAATACAAATTACAATAAAACGAAATAGAGAAGAAAAAACACACACAACAAACAAACAGTTAATTAAAATACAGCTTAAAATACATCTTAAAATGCAGCCTCATTTTAGTAGTAGCCCATAAATCAAGATTATAAAAGGAGGAAACATCAGATATTCACCTGAGCCAGCTATCCATGCTGGTCCTATATGGGTCAGCAAAAAAGCCAAGGGAAAATTTATATACCAAATCCCATATAAGGGGTAAGAGTGAGTCTAAGCCAAAGGCCAGGCAGAACAGCTCCCTCTTGCAGGCCCTGTCAAGTCCCGCAGGGCCCTAGCTTCTTGTGACAGGGCATTCCACCATGTTGGGGCCAGTGCTGAAAAGGCCCTGGCCCTAGTTGAAACCAATCTAACCTCCTTGAGGCTTGGGACCTCCAAAGTGTTGTTATTTATGGACCTTAAGGTCCGCTGCGGGGCATACCAGGAGTAGTGGCAATGTGTGAGCTCGCAGACCATGCACTGCACACTGCTTTAGCATCCATGCTCATTGACACTGGTCAAGATACATCTGCTCCCTGCTCCAAGATTTAACTTCTGGAGTCCATAGGGATGGAGCTCAGCACTGAAGGATGGCAAGTCAAGCAGCCAAGACTAAAAAAATTAACAAGTGGAACATAAGGTACCTTTATTTATCCATCACAGACCTTGTTATTGCCAGCTGGAGTTACAAAATAATAGTGCACATGTTCATGCATGAGAGTCGCCAAAATGTCAGGTTTTAAATCATCTACAGATTGCTATAAGTTAAATGGCGGATGTGCAGGGAGGAGAATGAGATGAGATGAGGCCTTTTCAGTGACTGCACCAATACTGTGAAATATCTATGAAACATGGATGACCCCCTCTGTGGTTGCATTCCACCAGGATTTTGCTTGCTAAGTTCATTTTTACCTATGATCTCTGCCATTGCTTTTAAACAGTCTATTTTATTTTTAAAAATGCTGTGTTCCTACACACACCTGTTCAAAACTTATTTATTTGTATTGCTGAATTCTTTGTATTTCAATGTATTTATTCTAAATTGTTGTATGGCACTCTTGACTGATGCACCAGAAGGATGGAATAAAAATGAATGCTAGGTAGGTCAGGTTGAGATACTGTGATGGGAACAAGATTGCCTACTGAAACACCCCTAGTCCAGCCATTTTAACCTGCTTACGTTATATGGAAGCTTTCTCCCAGGAAATCACACGCAGGAAGGCAGCTCGCAATGTCACTTTATGCATATTTACTCAAACTGGATTTATTCCAAGGTAAGTCTGTGTAAGGTATGTCCGGGGACGCGGGTGGCGCTGTGGGTAAAACCTCAGTGCCTAGGACTTGCCGATCGTATGGTCGGCGGTTCGAATCCCCGCGGCGGGGTGAGCTCCCCGCGGCGGGGTATTTCGGTCCCAGCTCCTGCCCACCTAGCAGTTTGAAAGCACCCCTAAGTGCAAGTAGATAAATAGGTACCGCTTTATAGCGGGAAGGTAAAAGGCGTTTCCGTGTGCTGCGCTGGTGCTGGCTCGCCAGAGCAGCTTCGTCACGCTGGCCACGTGACCCGGAAGTGTCTTTGGACAGCGCTGGCTCACGGCCTCTTAAGTGAGATGAGCGCACAACCCTAGAGTTGGACACGACTGGCCCGTACGGGCAGGGGTACCTTTACCTTTACTTAAGTCTGTGTAATGGATTGCAGCTTTAAAGTTTTTAACTTCCAGCAGCACAAATAGCTCTATTGTGTGATATCTTAAAACCTTCCCACAGAGAGAACACATTCGCTTAAGAAACTTTTAAAATCGCCTTTTCTTTTAATGTATTACTCTGGTGCCGGCCAGGCTAATGCGCCCTGAGGTCAGCCTTGAGCAATTGCAGAATGGCTCATGTGGAGAGGATGCGCATGTGAGGTTATGGGGCTGGACATAGTTTAGGGGAAGAGCATATGCACACAGAAGGTTCCAGGTTCACTCCTGGCCATCTCCCAGTTAACAGGACCAGGTATCCCAGGCGACAGGAAAGACTGCCTGAGCTACTAAGAAAGTTGATGCCACTCAGTGTAGCCAGTACTGGAAGATACGGACTAATCTGGTGTGAGGCAGCCTTCTGTACATAATAATAATAATAATAATAATAATAATAATTTTATTGGGCGGTTTCCAAAAAAACACTAAAATACAATAACCTATTAAACATTAAAAGCTTCCCTAAACAGGGCTGCCTTCAGATGTCTTCTAAAAGTTTGGTAGTTATTTTTCTCTTTGACATCTGGTGGGAGGGCGTTCCACAGGGCGGGTGCCACTACCGAGAAGGCCCTCTGCCTGGTTCCCTGTAACCTTAATTCTCACAGGGAGGGAACCGCCAGAAGGCCCTCGGCGCTGGACCTCAGTGTCCAGGTAGAACAATGGAGGTGGAGACACTCCTTCAGGTATACTGGACCGAGGCCGTTTAGGGCTTTAAAGGTCAGCACCAACACTTTGAATTGTGCTCAGAAACGTACTGGGAGCCAGTGTAGTTCTTTCAAGACCAGTGTTATATGGTCTGGGCGGCCGCTCCCAGTCACCAGTCTAGCTGCCACATTCTGGATTAGTTGTAGTTTCCGGGTCACCTTCAAAGGTAGCCCCACGTAGAGCGCATTGCAGTAGTCCAAGCGGGAGATAACCAGAGCATGCACCACTCTGGCGAGACAGTCTGTGGGCAGGTAGGGTCTCAGCCTGCGTACCAGATGGAGCTGGTAGACAGCCGCCCTGGACACAGAATTAACCTGCGCCTCCATGGACAGCTGTGAGTCCAAAATGACCGTTCAGGGGATAACTTTTTGCTAGGGGGGTATAGAAAGTCCAAATGCAAGAACAAAAGCCCTGGCCTGAATTCCTTGCAAGCATAAGAATAAAACAGCACCCCAAACCAGGTTGCATTAGAGGTGCTGGAACCAGGCCTTGATCTGCTGCACGCAGCGCTTTTGGCGCACGCTGCAAGTTGCACGGTCAAAAAACCGGATTATGTCACCCCCTCCATCTGCTGCAATCCTGCACAGAATTAAATGCAACTAAACCCACCAAGCATGCTCAAACCTGCTGGCTTTAGCACCCGAAACCCTCCCGGTTCCTTATGAAAGTCGATGTACCTTTTTTGACCCTCTCCCAACCCGGCCCCCGGCTTGTCTCAGTGCCACCCTCCGGCCCGCCTTTCCCCAACCTGCCGGCTGCTCTTCCCACCCAGGTTCCCGGGCCCCGTTTTCGCGCTCCAGATTCCCGGGCTGCGCGAGCGCTCGCTTCTTCCGCTACTCAGGTTTCGGGGCCGGCCGGAGCGCAGGCTCCGCGCGGCTTCTGCCAGCTCCGGGCCCGGGAGCGCGGATAAGCCGCGCAGCCACTTACATTGCACGGGGCTGGCGAAAGGCTGGCCGGTCGCGGCGCTCGGGTTCATCGCAGCCGTCGCGGATTCGCAGCAGCCGCGCGCCAGGCGCAGCTTTGCAAGAAAAAAAAAAGGGAGTGGGGGTGGGGAGAGGAAAAACGAACGAACAAGGAGACTTTGCACCGTCCTCGCGGGTCCCCCCCCCACCAGAAGGCGGGGACGGATGTGGAGGGACTGTGGAGCATGCTCTGTAGCAGCAACCGATGCCTGCGCGAGGCTCTTTGCCCACAGAAGGGAGCAAAGGGCGCTTGCAATGCATGCCTGTGGTAGCAAATGCAACTCAGGAGTAAGCCTGCTGAGTTGAGTTGGACTTGCTCCCCGGTCAGTGCGCACACAGGATTGCAACCCTGGAGAAAAGCGGGGGACAGTGTAGCAAAATAGGCTCTACCGGTGGCATTTCTGGCTGAGCTGCGGCAAGGCAGCAAAGGGTTTTCCCTCCCTTTTTCTTTGCCTCCTTTATCCTCGGGACAATACTGTAGATCCGAATGGGGACATTTCACTCGGTGCTCGGAACCTGCATCTATTTTAACGTCCCTGTTCCGAAGCTGCTTTCTTCCCGCTTGCCCATTCATTTATGGCAATCGCGTGCCACCCAGTGAAACAAGTCCACTGATCACCTAGAACATTTAAATTATTAAAACACAAATACAAGAAGTTAGCCGCTAAAATAATCAATACAAAAGCTGTGCCAGCACAGAATTAGTGTAAAACCAGCATGAAATCACGGTGATACATGGTGACTCCAGAGACTGCATTCTGGAACTTTAGGTCTGTGCATTTAAAATGGTTTAAAGTGCTCTGCCACCCTAGCATAACGAATCCACTTCGAAATAAAAATAAGAAATGGACCTCTTTGCAGTTTGGAAAGTGACAGGGAGACGCATTGAAAGGTGTGTGATAAATTGGAAAATGTGCACACCTTGCAAGCAAATCAGGAAGAATGCAAGATGAATTCTCATTGCCATGTAAGCACTCCATAAAGAAAGCAACGATTGTTCAATAAAGACGACCCGAACCACATTTGTAGAGTAAACCCTACCCAAATCTGGAGCGGAGTCCCTAAGACAGTTGGATGGTGCATTGCATGCCTCCTTCCGGCAGCTCCTGCAAGCTGGTTGCAAACATACTGCTCTGCTTTCCTTTGGATCACATCAGCGAGATGGAGAGGGGGCAGCCCAAGAACTCCATACACACTGTCCAGGCTTCTGCCCCAGAGAGGTCATTATGGTGCTTACTAAGGGTGGCGCTGTGGGTTAAACCACTGAGCCTAGGACTTGCCGATAAGAAGGTTGGCAGTTCGAATCCCTGTGACGGGGTGAGCCCCCGTTGCTCAGTCCCAGCTCCTGCCAACCTAGCAGTTCGAAAGCACGTCAAAGTGCAAGTAGATAAATAGGTACCACTCCAGCGGGAAGGTAAACGGCGTTTCTGTGCGCTGCTCTGGTTTGCCAGAAGCGGCTTAGTCATGCTGGCCACATGACCTGGAAGCTGTACGCCAGCTCCCTCGGCCAATAGAGCAAGATGAGCGCCGCAACCCCAGAGTCGGCCACGACTGGACCTAACGGTCAGGGATCCCTTTACCTTTTTAACTATACAAAACCGATGTGGTTTGACTTTAACCCCCACCCCCCGGAGGTGCACCCCATTGTCTCTTGAGACAGACGGATGCCACTAACAACTGACATTCAAATTATTATTAATTCTATATTATTTCTAACATGTATAGGTCGTCCTTCATTGCAACAGACTCATCCCAGGGTCTTTTCCAACAATGCATAAGATGCACCAAATATATCCACCAAATATATCTACTATACTGTATAGGGGTGGGCAGGAGGGGGTGTTGCTAGTTAGAACATAGAATACAAATATTGTACCAGTTGCATGCTCATGGCTGTCCTGGGTTCAATGCAGCGTGTTTATTTTGTTTGAAGCGAGACTATTTGAAGGGCTTCCTTCACCCTGCACCAGCCTGCTCCCCCTTTGAAATCGGTCTCTTTTCATTTCTTTGCTTATTTAATAATAGTAGCCAAAACTCAATCATATGGGAGGCAGGGGGTATGTTACATTATTGGATAAATCAAATGGATCAATTCAAGAATTCTAAAGTTCAAAAGGTGCCGTTGATGTAAATGACACGTGGTAAAATCCTTCCATACATCCCCAAATGTGGCAGGTTTAGCCAATCCTTGTAGTGCCTTAAGATTCCTTTAGAACCAGTTTTTCTTCAAGCAACAAATACGTGTAATAAATAATAAAAATAGTAATAATAATGATAACGCTCCCCCCCAGATTCAACAAAGTCTATAGAATCTATAGAAAATTTGGATGCTCCTGTGTCTATAGGAGATACAGCAGAGATGGGAAACGTGAGTCCACTGAGATGTTATTGGACCAAAGTTCCCATCACCTCTGACCAGTGGCCATGTTGTCTGGGGCTTGTGAAAGTTGACGTCCAACAACCTCTGAAGCTCCTCCGTTTCCTCAGCCCTTCAAGAGGGGATTTCGGTAGGAAGTGCATTTCGCGTCATCTTTCTAGGGTCTCACCTGCTCCACCTTTCCAGGCGAAATGCATCCTTTTGAGCCAAGGTTCTCCAGCAGGGATGGCCAAAATGATGAGCTTTCCAGCGGCAGATGCATGTCGGCATGTTGAAGCTTCCCCTTGCCGGATGCTCAGATATTTTATCTCGAACTGTCTGATGCAGCTTGACTTCTGAATGCCCTGCCTGTCTCCCGCCCCCCTTTGCCCCTCCTGTGATTGACATTTGTCATTACCGTGCCACGTCGCTTGTGCAGTACTTGCCCACTGCCTGCAGCGGTGGAGTATCTTCTTTTTCTGTCAGGTTAAGGGTGAAAAGGATTACACATGCATACTGATTTATGCCTTCTGGGCTTGGAATAGTGTCACTTGTGATTGCTGGCATGCTCGTTCAGTGTTTCTGCTTTTTTTTGGTTGTTGGGTTACACAGCGTTTCAGTCTTGGGGCCGTTACACATATTAGAGGAGATGAATGTTGGATATCTTTTGGCCTCTTGTGCACATGCATTGATTTTAACACCAGTAGTGTGTGCTTGTGCATCCCTTTTATACCATCTTTGGAAACTGGCGTTTCTCGTGCTCACGCACATTACAGCTTTAGCATGCACACCTCAACTGCATGTGGTTGGTCAAGACTAAGGTACACATGTCCTAAAAGCCTTGCAGACTTGCTGCCTGTTTATTGCCGAGCCAAATTCGTGGTGCCAGTTTTGACATATACTGTACCATACTTTTCCGTGTATAAGACTCCCCCATGTATAAGACACTCCCTATTTTGGGGGATTCAAATTTAAGAAAATGGGGGAGGTGGCTCACAGTTGTTGAGCTTTTTAGGGGGAGGATTGCCCAGAGTTGTACAATTTTTTTGGGGGGGGGGATTGTCGAAAATCAATTACCCACCCCACCAATGCTGACAATTGCATTGGTGGCTTGCAGCCGCCAATCAAACACCCACTTGCTGCAGCAACAGCAAATCGCAAACAGACCCTTACTCAGCAGAAAATCAATAACCCAATGGAGAAAAGCTGTCCACTGCCAATCGCGCATGTACCAGAACAGCAGCTGCCAATCGCAGCAGCGACAGCCAATCCACAGCAGTCCTTGCTGCACCAACCCAATCAGAGCAGCAGCAGCCAATCCAAAGCAGCTTTCGTAGCAGCCAACAATTGTCGCTGACAAGTTCCTGCTTGCAGCTGCAGCCAATCACACGTCCCCCATTCACTATCCGTGTATAAGACGAGCCATGTTTTTGAACATTATTTTTGAGTAAAAAAACCTTCGTCTTATAGACGGAAAAGTACGGTAAATCCTTAGATGGCTTAGAACCCAGCTATCCAAAGGAGTGTCTCTCCCACTATGGTCCTTCCTTGAGAGCTACTCAAGAGCCCCTTTTGTGAAGGGGACTTCCGGGGAGGCGCCTCCGGTAATGGCGGAATTCCTCTGACCGGGAGGAATCCGCTCCGTGGGAATCTGGGTCTGGCCGCCACGGCGAAGGCGGAGACCCGTTAAAATCACAGGCGGGAGAAGCCTGTGAACGTGGGATTCGGCGGGCACCTTTTGCGCCTCCTCCACTCCACGGTTTTTGGGGGTCCGGAGCGACGTGGGGTGAGCGGCGCGGTGCATCGAATCGTCTGCTTCTTCCACGGAGCGAAGCCGCATAGCTGTTGCCGGAGAGCGCTGACCTTTTCCTGTGGACAATTTGACTTTAAAGTAATTACCCGTGAGTAGAGCTGAAGCGGAAGAATTGGATTTCTAAAGGTTTAATTTGGTACCGTAACGGGGAGGTTCAAAACAGGAAGTCCGCCTTCCCCTTTTGTAAATAGACTGAGGCAATGAAGTTGCAAGCTGGAGTCCTGGAAGGTCTTTTGTAAAGATCAAATTTCCAACGGTAAAGAACATTAAACCCCCTCTTGGAGGCAGGAGAAGAGAGGGGGAAGTTGCGGATTGAGTATGCCTGCGGGAGAGAGCAAAGAGACTTAAAACACCGCCGCTCTGACCCTGGAAACAGGCTGCTAGTAGGACTGACGTCTTTTGGAATGTTCATTGACAGCGCTTGGAACGTTCATTGACAGCTAGTTAAATAAGAGAAATACATTGTTTCTACTGTCTCTGGCTGCTTTAAAAAGGAGTAAAAGTAACTGAAAATTGAAACTAATTTGAAACTAATTTTGGATTGTTTAAAAGAGGATACTATTGACTATTACAAATAGAAACTGTTTCCCCCTAGTGGAAGCCTTTGAAACCGGTTGCTTTACAAGAGTTGGACTAGGGGAGTTCCAGCTGCAAGTTAAAAACCGTGAGACTCT